ATAAATGAAACGATTGTATACGTTGACATATAACATTTATTCAAGACGAAAATCTCAAACACGCCTACGCCTATAGATGTATGTATATGTATATAACTATAAAGTGTCATGGCCGTTATTTTAGTAAATTGCCACTAGCCTGGATATGAGCTAACGTACTACTTTCACGCTTACACAAACCGAAGACAATTATAATTATAAATCAGATAAGTACTATCCATTTAACATAAAACATAAAAATAACAAGCGTAAACACCTCTTTGTCGAAACAGTAGTCATATCGAACGATACTGATTTATGAGCCGTACAACACACTGTCACCACATCTACAAATGATGTTAAAATGTGAGGAATTCAAACGAATTCATTCGCTGTATCTCCCGAAGCATATCTTGAGCTGGTCTTTATAAGGAGCCTGCTTCCCCTTGATCAGAATATCTCAAACTTCTCAAAAGCATCATTTGATCGCCTACGAAGAACTAATATCAACTCAACAATGGCCAAGACACTTTTCGTCGTCCTCATTGGAATGATCGCTCTTAGCGCACTTCTCCCAGTAAGTTGTATTTCGTTTTTTTTAAAGTATCTAATACCGTGAATTATTTTTTAAAAAAAATTGATAATGGTATGATTCGTTCATGATCTTACTTTTCTTTGATGTATGTATTATCAAATACGGCATTAAATCATTGAGATGCTAAAAGGTAGAAGGTACAAGTTTATTAAAACTTGTAGACACAGTAAAGTTAGACAGATGATACTTCCGTCCACTAGCTTATATACTGCCACCTAATACAATGTGTGAACTTTAACTTCAAAACATAATGTAATTCCTAAATTTAAATGGTTATTTTTTTTTTGCATATACCTCTAAATTTAAATTGGTCCTACCACCTTTGTTAAGGTTAATTGCGTGTTCAAACCTGTTCAAAATGAAAGATATATGTCACAGTATAAAATACTACTGGGTTTGAGTTTAATAACATTATATTTTTAGGCTATTCACAACTAAATATGTGACGTCATATGTTACAATTGACCCGCGGTAAGGGGCAATTGTAACAACGGTAAGGGGCAATTGTAACACTTTAACAATTACACACCATACATCTTCATTTTAACAAATTGAAAGTATATGTTGATTAAAATTTTATTTAACATGTAAACCTATATTTTACAATGTTTGTCACACGAGAGGTTAATTTAAACATAATTTTCGTATGTATCTGTTATATTGTATTATAGTATAAGTTTGATTTTTTTAAACAATTTACCAACCGTACAACAGTATAACATCACCTCAGAAACGATAATTGTAAATTCAACAATGCCTTGTGTATTCATTGTAGGCCTACAATATTACAAATTTTAATTAGGTCCCAATCATATCAAATATTTTATACTGTATCATAAGCTAAAATAAGTCCACTAAAAGTTGTCCATACACTAGGCTTTATGTATTGAAATACAAATCAACTGATTTTGATCCACTGTAAATGATGTATAATTCAGATTCATAGTTTTGACATACAAAGAAATATTCAAATGATGTGCACTCCTCATGGGCCCAATAATGCTCTAGCTTGAACAATTCCTTTCCACGGTCTGTAGACCGCTGCCTATGGCGAACCATTCTGAAATGAATTAAAATATTGTTTTTTAACACATAACATTTTCGAGGGGCAATTGTAACACTCTGTTACATTTGCCCCCGACCTAGCTAGGTATCAATATCGGCCTTTTGTATATCGTTCGCAAGTTACCAGCATTAAAACATTCACCACAATACAAGCCTAAATGTACACTGTTTTCATCAAGTAAAGTACCCGGTAGCTCAAGTTCCTATACATACAATCTAAAATATTAAATAACCACAAAAGTTTACTTATCTGGTCAAAAAATCGTTTTTTTGGCTGAAAATCTCTTCCTTTTATTATTAGCTAGCGATACTCGGATACGCAGTGCTAAACTCGAATTGGTGACATACTCCTACCAACGATGAGATCATTTGTCACATTGGCCCCGTGTTACAATTGACCCGGTCTCAACTAGGCTATTTATTCAATCAAAATTCAAAATTCATAAAATCATAAAACATGGCTGCTAAAACTCTGAATTGCGAATTATGTTAAGATTAAAAAGCTCAGAACTAACAAAAATTAAGGAAAATAAAAAGAACTAAAAAAGAAACCACTGCATAATCATGACAATAACAGTTATATAGCATTATGTGTATACCTACATTAAAATTTATGAATCATTTAATTAAAACATTATTTAGAATATTAAATTATTATATTAACTATTAGTATTGCAGTGAAACATTAAACTATGAATGATGAATAATTTAATATTACATTCAAATTATATAACAATCATTAAATTTAAAGAGAAAGCAACAAATTTAAATAATTGCATTAGGAATGTGAATTGCATTTTACAAGCATGTCCTGTAGCCCATTTGTTAGACTTCCTGTGCATTTTAGTACTGAAAATTATAACGATTATTTCCTATTTTTCAACACAGGCTGAAGACATTTCTGCTACCGCACTAAGTAAGCTTTTAAAAAATCATTATTATCATTATTAGGCCTATATAATTTATGTAGACGTGTTGTACTTTATTCACGAGTTATACCTGTCAAAGTGTTCTAGGGAGATCTCAAATTATACGTTTCTCGATTTGTCGCTATTTATTGCACGTGCGGTATTTTTCTCTATTTTCTAGACTGTGTTAACTCTGACGATAATTATTGTAAGATGATGGCTAACTTCTGCGATTCACAAGCTTTCTCTTCTGATGTTGCCACCAAATGCCCAGGTACATGTAACCCAGCGTGCCAACGTTAAAGTAAGTACCGGTAATTTTATTTAAAATGATAGAAGAACGAAACAATGGAGTTGGAGAAGATTGCTTCTCCTGTTTTAGGCATAATAACATAATAATAATAAAAACGAAGGTTTCGTAATCCTACAGAACGATAACTTTAATAGACATTAGATATGTTAACCGGTAGAAACGCCTATACTTTTTCATTAATAATAAATGTTTCGATTTATAGCGCCTTAAGTTATACAAGTGGAACTTAGTCAAGTCCCCTACCAAATCCTGACAAAAATATTTGATGTATGACTTACGTCATTTTAGTGGCGACGCAAATCTGGGAGAGGGTTTAGGGCCGGGGTGGGTTGGTAGAATATTGTAAGCCAGTGCATGCGAGATTTATGCTGGCGTTCGTTTCGGCGCTGCGCACCACCACCCGTTAACGTTACACTATAGCGTAACTTGTTGGTGCCAAACACTCAGGGCCTAGGAAAGATCGTTCCCAGTGACTCGTACTATGTCGAATGACAAGTCACGTAAACAAACAAATCACATGGCGTATTGCTATTATGATGATTAATTACGTCGTATTTATTTTGCATTATTTTGAACTTACAGGTGAATAAACAGGCCTACAACATCTGAATGTAGCAGAGAACGCTTATTCTCCTAACAACAAATCAACGGGTATTGTAAAGACCATAGATCAATTCAATTTGCCATTACCAGTTGTGTACACTTTCACTACACAATGAAAGTTCATATATGCATCAATGATAAGTGCAACGAAGGTTCAACTGAGCCAGCCGACTACCTGTCAGTTTATTTCGACAACTCGGATTAAACCCTAAAGTCTTAAACTTTATCTTTTATTCAATATTAGATTACTAGTAGAGAAATCACGATGTTTGGTTTACAGTGTATTAGCAGTCACCACCTGAACATACAGTAATTATTATTCACTAAGCATGATTGAAACACTTTGTGCGAAACGAATAAAATGATCACATAGGCGTAAATATGTTTATATTGAAGATTATTGGCAACGTTGAATAAAAGTAGATCTTTGCTCTCTAAGATAGTTTAAGTATTTTATTACCGTATGTGTCTACACAATAGATGAATGAAAACGAGACTATACCCATATGATGACATTACCAGCATTAAAGGTATGCGGTCTGTGTTATGGTAATAATTCCTGAAATAAAATGAATATTTTAATTGCCTGTTGTTTACTTTAGTAAAATTAAAGGAGGAAATATTTTTCTTGCCAATCGGCATGATGCATAACCAATACACTGTAAAACAGCGTGGAGGATTTAAACGCAAAACTCTACGCATTGTCCCGCTTTTGGTGACACGTCTAAAAGCAAAAAGTGTTTTGTGCAGGACTTATATGTTTAGGTTTCTGACGTGTTCAGCATTAAAATGTCCTTAGGTATGGTGACATTATTATGGCAAATAACTAATCACATTCAATTCTAAACACGCCAAGTTCCAAAATACTATTAGACTATGCTTAAACATGTTCAGCTTTTCAACGTGTCCCCAAAAGCGGAACAAAATTGCGTGGAGCACGCTGTTTTTACAGTGTGCCGTCCCTGTTTTCTTTGAAAAAAAGTCACAATTTAAAAATTCTTGTAGTCAAAATTGTAAATCAGTTTAAACTAAATTACTTTGATGTGTGTCTCATTTGAATTCTGTAGATTGAAGAGTTTCTTCAGACAGCATATCTTTAAAATACACGACCTAAACAAAAATGGACACGACCTAAACAGAAATGGACACGACCTAAACAGAAATGGACACGACGTATACAAAAAGACAAGACCTAAGCAAATAAAAAAAGACATTTCATCCAAAAAAAGAGTGCTAAATAAAGCATAACTGGCCACTCATCTAAGCGCCATTTTCGGATATTGTTACTAATGTCCACTAAACGACAGCGTAAAGGTACGTAGTGTGCTTGCGGACATGCGCGTATCTTCAATTTGATTAATATTTGGGAAAGGTCTATTAGGCTAATGTATAAGGTTATATAAATTAATGAGGTGAAAGTGAATGCCTTAAAATCTCTGGGATATAGCTGGGTTCAATTTCAAAATTTCCGGTTACAGAAACATTCGTTTCTCACGACTAAAACAACTCAATTTCTTAAGCTTCATTATGATAGCGTGTCAGTATCAATTGTATTTCACTGCACTAGCATGGTTAAAATTTAATATATATATATATATATATATATATATATATATGTGTGTGTGTGTGTGTGTGTGTGTGTGTGTGTGTGTGTGTGTGTGTGTGTGTAGAAGACCCACCTTGTAGTTTTTGCAATATGAAGAGCAATGTGATCAGACTCCATTAAAACCCGATGCTGGCCGGTTTGAACCGGGGTCTTCAGCACAAGAAGCAGGAACAATAGCTCTCAGCTAACCTCCATATCACCACACACCAATTGATAGCTTCCAGGTTCTGATCAAAAATTCATAGCATCAGTTTAATGTGTCACTTATAAGTAGCTTATTTTGCTTTTCTAACATCTAAAAACGGCTAGTATTCTATCTACTCTACGGCTTGCTAACAACCACTTATCCTAACTCAAAAAAGTAATGTAAAGCTGGGTTTTATCAGTGAAAGTATATCTTCCAAAAGAGGCACATACATTATCGGTCCAATGATTAACACTTGAGCTAGGATGGAGAAATCACCTTACCTTGAACAAAATTGGAATCCAACATTATATTCACGACACTTGCTGCAAGAAAAGCCTGTTTTTACTGACCACTGTTTCTGTGCCAAGGATCAAGTGTTATCCAAACTACTTATATGGCGAATCCCAACAAACAGACCTGGTAGCCTTCCTAGGCTCCTACAAACCCTGAAATTTTTAAAAGGAGACTCCGGCCTGATTATCTTGCCAAATCAATGCCAGACTAGCTGGAGTAGACATGTCAAGTCCATGTCGGCTGCGGCCGAAGGGTAAGGTAAGGGTAGGATATGATTCTCTAATTGTATTAGTGTTAAATACTAAACCAGGCTAAACTTAGATGAAATTATTGCATTCCAGTTGTTTACAAGTGATGTTTTGGTACTATCAGCATTTATTCGTTATATTCTTTCGAACGATTTGATTACCGAACGTAATACAATTACTCCCTTGAATACATGTCAGAAACGTATTGTTTTAAATAGTTTCATATTAACAGTTTAAAAACCCCATTCTCTAAAGAAGCAAAAAAAATCTTTCAAATGTTGATTAAATGGACTTTCAGTTATCGTTAAAGCCAAGCCCTAATAAAGGAAACAAATGATATTTTGTACTACTGATTTTTCTAAGAGGATTTGAAGAAAAAAACCAGGAACGGTTAATGAGATACAGATGTTTGGATATTTAAAAACTTGGAGGAAAAGGTGGAAAGAAGTTTGGTTACGATATTTTTTTCCATAGTTTTAAATATTTGAAAATTTGCAGTTACTCGAAAATTAAAACCGGAAAATACAGAATTCAAAAGTTTCTTTAAAAAATTGATTTAGAAAAATAGAGCTAATTTTTTTTATTATTAATATATATATATATATATATATATATATATACATATTTGTTTACAATATCGACCAAGTATATATAACAAAAAAATAAGCAAATTGCGTCTCGCAATCCGTCATGTTTTCATGCGCTACTGCGTAGCCTCGTCGTCTGTAGGGTCATAGATTTTAGAGTATCCCCCGGGAATTTAATCTTGGTATTATCGTGATTATTTTTAATTTATAAAAGTTGAAAAGCGGGACAATTTGGAATTTGGGGGGTTAGGCGGGACAGCGGGACACGATTTCCAAAAGCGGGACAATCTTGCCGAAAGCGGGACAGTTGCAACCTATGCAGGTGTGTTCCCCAAGGAACCATTCCCGCTGTTATTATATTTTTAATCATTATTAATGATTCATTACAGGATGTTGAAAAACTGGAGATCGATGCTTGGAAGTACGAGATGACCAAACTATACAGTAAATGGAATATCAACCACTGTAGCTGACAGGAACCTCCAAATTGTACTTGATGCACTTGATCAATAGACAGATGAGACTAAACTCAAGCTGAATCCCTCGAAATGCCAGGTCATGCGTATCTGCTTTGGTCGCAAAGTGCCTCCATGGAGGCATCGATCTCCACATCCCCAACCAACACCTTCCCATTGTTAAACGTGTGAAACTGTTGGGAATCCAACTTGACAACAATCTGAAATGGTCTAGCAACACTGATGCAATTTGCAAGAAAGAAAGGTAACAAGAAATTATTTCTTATACGTCTTGTTATGAATACGCTGCGGCTGCCCCACCGTGTCACTCTGGATGAACAATTCAGCAGTCCAGACAGATAGGGCGTACTATTCCAAATCAGAATCTGCCACAGTATTTTAGGAAGAAATCGTACAGAACATATAATGATGCTCTTGTTATTCTAATTATTGAAAGATTAACCCACCGCAGAGACAACCTCGGTTTTAAATTTGTAGAAGGCTACCCGTTCTGACAACTATAATGACATTTTAGTTTTACGCAAAAGAATACAAAAAATGAAATAGGCTATACAGACTATTTCTCATAGAATATTACCATTTTCTCGACGAATTCTTCGTTACTAGGCAAATTCAGAGGTTGTAGATCGCATCCGCTGGAATGCTCTCGCTTTTATGTATACTTTATACAGTCAATAAAGTGCGCCTTCTCTAATGAAATTAGTTTTTCTACTTCTTATCTCGCACACTGCGTCTATCGAGTAGGCCTGAGATAAAATCAGAATCTGTTTTTTAACAAATTTGAAATAATTCCTATGAAATATTATATTTCACAAGTGTCAAGTGTGTTGGATAGGCTAATGTTTTCGGCGCCTACTATATTTCTTCACAGACCTATCGCAAAATCAAACATCAAAAATTCATCCGCATTTATTTTTTGTGGGGAAAACAAAAAATAAAATTTCAGTCTTATTTTACATTTTTTCCATGTTTAGAAATGTCCAAATTCAGCTAAACTAGCAATTTCGTATTATATTTATAAATCTTTATAACATATTTTTCTTAACAACTGAAATTTTTCCGGGAATGGGGCTTTAATTCATTTTAGAGCCTGCCTCTGTGGTGAGTCCAATTCAATGTAACAAAGATTTGCAAACCTTTCAACAACTGATTATTTTTCTGCTCAGTACTTTCTGGCGTTGCATATCCATATTTGTATAAATTTCTATTTTTATATTGAAACTTTTTTGATGTGAATATTTTTTCATAATTTGTTAATATTGAAAATGTTTTTTTTTTAAATATTTTGAAATGTATTTTTTTTCTTTTAGTAATATGGTTCTCAATGTGTAAATTTTCTATTCATCAACCCAATAGGTATAGTAGGCCTATTTTTAAGTCTAATAACTTTGCTCTTAATTCAGCTCTCTTGCTTTAACT